TACAAGCTACATGCTACTAGCTAATTTTACCGAACAAGCCCAAGATCCAAAGTCCCATCCTTCCAGTAATGGTTTAAACACCTAAACCATTCCAAAGATTTATGATTTATAAGACATGCATGTCTAATGCATTTCTTGAACCCATATTATGTCAAAAAGGGAATTCATGACCTACTTTCCATGCATGGTATCAAAACTTTGGTTGGAACCAGTTCCAAGCCACTAGAAGGTCTCCTTGACCTGGAGATTTGTTGCAAACTTTATGAGATCCCTCCATGCATCAACCCTTAACAAAGAGAAAAGGCAACATAACTCAAGATCTAGTGACTAGGAATGGTAAAAATCAAGACTTGAACACTTACAATGGTCTAAGAGAGTGCTACACTGAAGTATGATTGAGTTGCAGCCTTGCTTCCTTCTTTCACTTTCTTCCTTCAAAACACCAACTATCTTCAAAAATGGGAGAGAAAAAGATTAGGGTTTCTTCTTGAGCTTGAGAGGGCAGATGGAGGCTGAGGGTGGACAAACCCTGGACCCCATAATGCTTAAATCGGGGCCTAAACCCCGAAATATTACGGTTTCACACACATCGGTCAACACGCTGTGCCCAGAGGGAAAACATGTCATGTTGCTCAGCCAAAACACGCGTCTTTTATTATCTAGACACGCCGTGTTGGTGCCTCCAACATGTCATGTATAGACCCCAAGATTACAACTACCAAATCAATTATCATAACATGAAAGAATTAGAAGTACTTGAACATCGGGATGTTACAAAAAGTCATAAAGTTTTCAACTTCATGATATTGCATGTCCATTAAGTGCTTAAAACACAAAATCTCAACATCTTAATGTACTAAGACATTCTATAGCATGCATGGAGCAAAAGTAACCATCAAGACCACATTTTTATGACTTAAGACCCATCCTAAGGTCTGAAATGATGAATTATAAGGTCAAGAACATGTCATGCTCAAGAATCACCATATTTGGGACAAAAAGTGTCTTAAAGGAAGAAATGTCTAAACCTACAAGATGGAGTGATCAAGTTGCATACTTTATACCTCCTGGAGGTTGCTAACAAGAAGGAAATCTCAGATCCAAGATGCTTCCAAGCTCCAAGCTCTTCTCACCGCCTTTTTCTTCTTCTTCAAGAACACCTCCAAAACTTTCTCACTTAGGGTTTGCTTGGGGTTGTTTTTCACAGAGGGGGGCTGATGAAGAAATGAGAAATGAGGCTATAATAGGGTTTATATATGGACCAAACCCTAAAAAATTAGGGTATGCATATTCTTCACGTATGCCCCGCGTACGAGGCGTACATCTAGTGTACTAGGGCGTGCCTTATTACGCCTAGCGTACACAACGTACACTCAGTGTAATACCCTTGGACCAAATTACTATATTGCCACTATGGGCCATTTTGCAATCCTTTTCAATCCCAAGGGATAAAATACAATATTATTCAAACATAGGGTTGAAATTGAAAATTACCTTAACATCAGGATGTTACAAATGAGTATGCGTTAGATTAGTATATCTGTATGATTACATGTGTTGTTGGTTGTTGATTGTTATTGTAGATGCCGACATGTTATGGTTTTTGGGTTGAGGTGGTCCTACTGTGTGTTGAAGGCCAAGATACCCAGGACGGTTCGGATAGACTGAAAGTCTACAAAGCGGTCCAGGCCGAATGCCCGTAGAGCGATCCAAATAAGTTATTAGCCCTGCGGGGTGGTCTAGTCATGCTGAAGGCTCGTATATGCATGTTGTTATCTATATTGGTTGTGTGTGTTGATTTGGGGGAACTCACTAAGTTTTGATTTATACTTTACGTTTTATGTTTCGGGTACTTCAAATGATCAGGAGAAAACAAATGGATGATCGTACACTTCCTTTGATGATATATTTTGGAGATGTTATGATACATTGATTTTGGAATATTTGTGCTTGATCTTGGGTTCTTATGACTTGGGTTTGATTGAAAATAATGATTTCTATTTAGTTAAAAATGAAAAAAAATATTATGATTTTGGGATCTTAAGGCGGTTCTGAAGCGGTTCCAATTCCGATAGCGGATACCCTGTTCGCTACTCACCTCTAGGAAAAAAACGTGTGCTCGATCAGTTGGAATCCTAGTAGCTCATGGTTACTACTTTGTATGGATCAACCATTAAGATTGACTTAATTCACCGTCATAACACTTACGGTTAAATGTTGTTGATTTGATTAGTTCTAAATGGATCAATTGCTTTGAAGATTGAAAATTTTAAAATATGTTATTGCTTCTGTTGCTTGTTTAATATATTATTGTTTTGAACGTCAATCCCCAATATCAATTGTACAACCACTTTAACCACATCTAAAATACATCAGATGTTTTATATTCGGGCATTTATGTCTTTTTTGACCCAATAATCTAAATAGTAACAACAAGAAACATTACTACACCAAACACCTTTTAAAAAAGAATTACAATGTGGACACCAAGGAATGTTCGCATGTGACTCATTCCTTTATCAGTACAATAACTGATGAAACAATTTTATCACACATTCGTTTTGATATATTTGATCTCTTGGATGAACTTGTGAAGCGTGTTAATACTTAATAAGATATAAGATGAGAACGCTAGTCGGAAGGCAACCCCCAACATCAATTGTACAGCCACTTTAACCACATCTAAAATACATCAAATGTTGTTCTATCGGGCATTTACGTCTTTTCTGACCTAATTCTCCAAATAGTAACAAGTAACAACAAGAAATATTACTACACCAAACAGTTTTTTTAAAAGAATTACATAAAAGAATTACAACGTGGACACCAAGGAATGTTAACATATGACTCTTTCCTTTACCATTACAATAACTTGTAAGAGGATGAAACAGTTTTATCACACGTTCGCTTTGATATATTTGGTCTTTTGGATGAAGTGATGAGCTTGTGAAGCGTGTTAGTACTTAATAGATATAAGATGAGAATGATAATCAAGAGGATAAGAGATACTACCACTAGCATATTCTTTGTGAACAAATATACTTGCTTCTTTGCGTACATATAACCCATTCACATGCTTTAAATTTCTCCAATACCAGATAGGTATTTGGATATATAAGGGTTGGTTTATTTGAGCCATCTAAACCAACACAAAAAAATATAATATATATCGAGTAAGAGCGTGGATGTAGTTATTATCATATGTAAGACGTTGGAGAAGACGTCTCAACCACTGGGAAATAGGCAGGTTTTCAACTTTTCCCAAAATAACATGTCCACCAAAAAATATTGTCAGTTGCATCTATGATACGTGGTCACAAAAGAGATGCTATAAGATACAACAAAGTATTGACAACTAAAAATAACAACATTCTTTTATTTATTTGTTTATTAAAACATACTACTGTAATTGAATTAAAACATACTACTGTAATTTGTTTCAATTGTAGCATTTTTTTAAATTATCCATTTATAGAAATGTTATCCATCTAAAATACTATTTCATTGTTATAATTGGATGAATTTAGAGTACAATGTCATAGTAATATTGATTGAATGTACGTGCTATAATTACATAAATTTTAAGATACATTTGAACTAACATGCTACCTAACGAAGCCATGTAACAGATTCAAACATAGCTTTATTTACTTTTATTACAACATCATTTTTTATTTCTATAATCCATTAAATTATAGCAATGTCATCTAATACAAAATAATTCTTATGGTTATAAATTGGTAGATTTTTTAAAGTACAATGTCCTAATAAAAAAAGATTATGAAAATACATTGTACAAAGTTGTATATTTTTCAATGTACAATGCAATAACTTGACAGATTTTAAGATATATGGGAATTAAAAGCTAGTAAAAGAAGCCATGTGACAACAGATGTATAGGAAAATGATTAAATACTAGAAATAGCAAGGTACTTTCATTTATGTCTATCATAGCATCATACTTGCATTTTTTCAATTTACACAATTTTGTTTTAGACAAATCTACCCAAATAAAGAAATGTCATTCATATACAAAATAAAATTTCATACTATTATGGCTAAAAAATTTAAAGTAACATGTGCCACTTCTAACAAAAATATTGAAAATACAATGTTATGTCTGTAAAATTTGAAGATACATGAAAACTACCATGCTAGTAAGAGATGACATGTAACAACAAAGTGACAGTGAGAGATAAGCTGATAGATAATGGGTTAAATGAAAGAAATAACAATATACTTTTTTTGTTTATTACATAATAGTACTAAATTTTTGCTATTATAACGTTTATAATAAATTACACAAATGGTCCGTATGGTTTGGGGTAATTTGCGCGTTTGGTCCCTACTCAGAAGGTCCATACTATTTGTTTTTGTTGTGCACTTGATCCCTGTCTTATCTAAAAATACTATTTTACCTTTGATTTTTTAATTTATTTGAATAAACACACCCCTAACCCCACCCCTACATCACCTTATCTTATCTAAAAAAAAACAATTTCAGTTTATTTAAATAAGGGTATAATAGTCCTTTTAGGTAAGACAAGGACCAAGCGTATAACAAAAACAAACAGTAGAGACTTTCCAAGTTAAAATAATAAGTTGGGGACCAAACACACAAATTACCCCAAACCATACGGACCATTCATGTAATTTACTCTAACATTTATTTTGAAAATGTTATCCAATTATAACATTGTCATTCAAATACAAAAATATTTTCATTGTTATAATCATAGTTGTTAAACTCGTCCGAGTCACGAGTCGACTCGTACGAGTCGAGTCAAAATCAACTATAAAAGAGACGACTCGGTTAATGACTCTGTAGGGATAGCGAATCGTATTCTAACTAGCGATTTTAGAGCGACTCGGACCGAGTCGAGGCAACTCGGAACTCGATGGAGTCAAAAATAGGAAACAAAATGGCACACACACACACACACACACACACATATATATATATATATATATATATATATATATATATATATATATATATAGTATGACTTATGAGTCGAGTTACGAGTAGAAAATCTACATTCTGAGTCTCGAGTCAAGTTACGAGTTGACAACTATGGTTATAATTAGATAGATTTTTCAAAATATAACATCTTAATAGTTAGAGTATATGGTATGGGCAACAAGAAGTGATGGTTTTGCTGATGTGGCATCTCATAACATGGTCATAACACCATGAACACCATTTCCCCCTTGGTGTTATGGCATATCTTGTTGGCGTTATGACATATTGAAACGAGAACATTGATTGGTTGCACATTTCTTCCCTCTCTATTTTTCTCCTCTTAACTTCCTCATAACATGGTCATAACACCATGAACATCATTTCCCCCTTGGTGTTATAAGTTGTTATAACACCACCTCAACGGGCCCATACCTAATGCTCTTAAAAACTTGATAATTCAACGCTATGATTGGATACATTTTTCAAAGCACAATGTCTTAATAGAAAGAAAAAGAAAAAATGATAGCACAATATTAAAATATACTTTCTCCATTAAAAGGAGAGTGTCAAATCAACTAAAAAAATGCAAAAATAAAGAAATGAACCATAAGATAACTGCAAATTTTTGTTCAATAAACTTAAAATGTACAACCATGGTAAGCCAAACGGTTCAAACTAGAGATTAGAACATCTTTTTGAAAACTTCAACTCAAGGTAAGGCAAGTCTTGTATGAGGAAAACCCTAGAAATACAAAAGAAAATCAAAGGATATGAAAGGTAGCCAAAAACTTGTCACAGTATAGAAATCTAAATCCCGGTATAAAAAAAAACTCACTAACTAGACTTGGCATGATTATTTTTGACAAATATTAAGTCAAATTCAAAGGCATCTACAAGTAGTCTTACTTAAGTCTCAGAAGGGAGGGCAAGATAATCCATCTTCATGACTTACATGGACAGCTGCACACCGAAAGAAAAATCCATACATGACAAAACATCTAGTGAGTCATGAGCTTTTTATAGACGACGGAAATCAAATATAAAATATGCCCATGTGTAACTAATCAACAAATTATATGAGGATACACATCAGATTTAGATGTGTAAGGACATCTTATTACACACACAGACACACTAATGAGTAACGAGTTAGCAAATGGGAAAATAAAAATAAACCATGTGATAGATGCTGAAGAGCAATCGACATTGGTTGGTAAGGCAACAACCAATTAATGTTTAGAAGTGAGGCAGGTCCATACATTGGGAAAGTGCTAAATTTGCGGCTAACCATGTCCGCCCACTTCCCGGACCCATACACGAAATGTGTTCTCTCATTCTTTCCTTTCTTTGCATCAATGTTACTTATGCAGACAAAAAATAAAAAATAAAAAATAAAAAACTAAAAAACTAACATTTCTCATGGCTTTGGTTTGGTTTGGTTTGGTGATTCCTATAAAAGTTTTGAATCCTTTCTAGTAGACAATCACGGATATATCTTTTTCCAAAACAGAATTTCACCCACACCCAGCCAATCCATTCCAAAAAGAGATAATGTCAAATTATAGCTAAACTTTACAGGTAATAACCAACTATGATACTTGTTCAAAATACATAAACACCCAACTTCTTTCTACAAATTTGCCCCAACTTTAGCTTTTGTTACAAATTTGGTCCCAACCTATTTTAACAATTCATTTTTTACAACTTATTCTTTCTAATATTCATGCTTTATAAGCTTGCTTTTAACAACTTTTTTACAGAAGTCGTAAAAGACATGCACTTTTTTACAGATTTTTAAAATTGTAAAAAAAGGATATTTTAAAAGTTCATTACTACGAAATTGTAAAAATAAATCTATAAGACAACAATTTATTTATATTTATTCTTTTACAAAAAAAATAAATAAATAAAATAAAAAAAAAATTAATTCATAAGAAAAAAAAGTGTAATAAGCATGTAAAAATATTATAAAAACCAATTTGTGCATGTTTTTACGAATTTATTTAAACAAATAGTAAAAACAAGTCTGTAACATATATATATATATATATATATATATATATATATATATATATATATATATATAGAGAGAGAGAGAGAGAGAGAGATCTTGGGAGACAAAACAAGGTTTACGACCAATTTCATAACAAAAACTTAAACTTGGGGTAAAATTGTGACAAACAAATTGGATTTGTGAGAGGTAAAAGGCATAGCAGGTCACAATGAACTATATCTCTACAGATATTAATAGCAATGCAAAAAGTGGGTTTGCAGGTACATATGAAATAGTTGGTTGGCTATAAATGAAATTATGTCTTCCCAAACCAATACCAACTTCTTTCATATCATCTTCTGGCAATTTTAATGTAAATGCATTCCGTTTTGATTTCAAGAAAATTTTCAAGATCACAGATGCTAATGCTCATGTTATAACTAAACACAACCAATATAAACGAAAAAATTGCACCCTAATCAAACAATTAACGCATACCTGAGACCAGATTCACATCAGGAATCACCACCACCGCTTCTGCGGTACTCATGTTTAATACTTGTATCTGCGGTTCGGATTGTAATTCGGTTTTCTTAACTAATGCACTTGAACCATCATCTTCTTTAATCGGACTCGTGTCAGCTTTCTTACTACTTTCACCATTCTGTTTATTCTTTGGACACTCACCAGCTTTGTGACCAAGTTGACCACATCCAAAACACGTTACCTGTTGACCTTCATTCGGGCAATTGGATCTTTTATGACCCAAATTCCCACAGAGGTAACATCGTGAAGCATCACTCGCTTCTTTTTTTATGGGGGGCACTTTTTTCTTATTAGTTTTCTTAGGTAAAACATGTTTCTTCGGACACGTGTCAGATTTGTGACCAGCTTCACCACATCTGAAACACGTAATTTCTTTATTCAGGCAGTCAGTGCTTATATGACCCGACTGTCCACATCGGAAACATCGTGGGCACTGACACTCACCCAAATGATATTTGTTACAACTTAGACACAGAGGAATCCCTCCCTTCTTAGGATTCTTTCCTTTGTTATTATTATTATTACTATTACTATTACTATTACTATTATTATTATTATGATTAGTGACGCGATTTTTCTTAGATGAGGTTCCGGGAGAACCTTCAAATTTTCGTTTCTCGCCCGGATTTGAAGATAAACGGGTTTTTTCTTCCATATAATTGGCCTCTTGGATGGCCCTTTGAAGATGAGAAAGATAGTTAGGAGGCAATGCCATATTTGAAAATTGCTGGGGATGTGGATGCATGTGGTTGTCAAAGGGTTGATACATCTTATTCTGAGTTGACTCGGGAAGCGGAGTATGTAATGAGTTAAGAGGTGGAGTGTGGTTGTAGGTGGGATCAGGTGTGGGTGATTCACCGGTAGTTATTGGTGGACCTCCGGCCAAAAGACTGGTCCATAGCCATACACTTTTTGCAGCTGCAAGGAGGGATATGGAAGCTTTCTGAGGTTGAGCTAAAAGAATGTTGTATTTCCTCATTCTTAATTGATGTAATGCATTTGAGAAATCCCGGTCACCAGAAATTAACAGATAATTGCATGGGGCAGGGTTATCTACTGCCCAAAATAACATGTCTACCAATATTTTCTTGTCGCTTGCATCTTTCGCACCTGGTTATTAAAAAGAAGAATATAGATTATAATAAAAACTTTAACCCTGGGTAAATTTGGTTCAAAAGAACATAAGATTCTTGTAAATTTCTGTGTTTCTTTTTTTTTTTGCAAATATGATGGTTGAATCAAGAAAATTATAGAGCCTGATCAAGTAGATGAGTTTGTAAAAACAAACCATAACTGCATTTTTTTCATCACCAATCAAATAAAAGCACAAGAACTTTCAAAATTTTACTTTTCCAGAGATCAAATCTCGATTTAAAAATATATAATCAATATTAGGGCTCATAAACTCAATCCACCATAATCCGTTCATCCGACAATTGATTGAACTAAGAAATGTCAACTAATAACCAAATCTTCTTGAAAGATCTCAAATATAATTAAACTAAAAGAACAGTCGAATTGAGTATGTATGAATTTGAGTAAACGGATTTCTGTATACGTCGTGTTAGGGTTTCGATTTTCACCACAATCTGAAGTCAAAGCAAGATAAACACAACACTCGTTTCCAGTTGAACATCAAATTAAACTCAGTTTTTATATAATTAAGCATGTAAGTGTAGGTTTGATAAAGATATATACCGGCGGGGACGTGATTCAAAGAGATGCCGGTACTGTTGAGGCCTTGCTGCACAGAGGCAGGGATCCGATTGGTGTCGCCGTAAGCGGAAATCGACACTGGCCCACAGTAGTTCATATTAGCCAAAGCAGAACTTATATTCTGAGCGATCGAATGAGGTTCACAGCCTTTAGGTACCTGGCAGTTCTCTATGTCCCACCAGACAGATATCTTCGCCTTCACGTACTGCTGTTCGGCTGCTCCTCCAGCCATCGTTGCAACGCCGTTACTTCCACCAAATCCGCTCGTATAGTCGCCTGAACTTTTAGATGAAAAAACGATCGCAGCCGGCCGTTTCTTCTTTATGTGTGAACTGTGAAGTTTGGAGGGTTAACCGGAAGAGAGAGAGAGAGAGAGAGACAGAGATAGAGAGAGACGGCCCATCTTAAAAACCATGGATACCCTCGGAGTAAATTACAATTTTGGTCCCGTTGGTTTTCCATTCATGCAAGTTTGGTACAAGTTTTGAAAATATATATATATATATATATATATATATATATATATATATATATATATATATATATATATATATATATACATATATATACATATATATATATATATATAAAAGAGAGAGAGAGAGAGCAAGGATCATTTGAGAACTCAAAGTTTCCTGAGAACTCGAGAATTAAACAATGATCGTTAGATTAAAATAATAAAGAGTTAGGATGCTTTGCGACATATTTGTAAATACCTGAAAATAAAAAAGGAGGAGGGCATCTTATTAAAATAAATCAAGTGCATTTAGGGAAACTCTAATCGATATCCCATTATCAGATTAATTACATCGACTCTCTCCTTACATTTCTCTCTCTCTCTCTCTCTCTCTCTCTCTCTCTCTCTCTCTCTCTCTCTCTCTCTCTCTCTCTCTCTCTCTCTCTCTCCCTACACCTTCATATCGTTAACTTCATCGTTGATCGTTTGATGAAATCCAATGCCACCATCTGAAAGCCATGGTCGCCTCCGGTAATCGTCACCATATCGATTAATTGTCTTCTCCATCGTCTCTCCCCCACCTCTCTTTCTCCCTCACACACACACAAACACACACACATACAAACATCTTTATGCCTTTGCGACGATGATTCCTTCGATCAGGATAACATCGATAAGAGATTGAAAGAGAACACCACGATGAGAAATATCTCTCCTCATATCGTCGCCTCACCTCTTCCTGTTTCAGTCAATTGCAAAAATTAGGGGTTGCAATTGTTTTCTGATCCACAATTTCAATTTCGTGTTAAGATTCGAAATCAATAGACGAAACTAGCAAAACGAATATCACGAGTTAGAAATCGACACACGAGTTGGCAATGGAAGGGAAAAAAACATTTGGAAGATACGATAGAATCGAGATTTCAGATATTATCTTCGCTAAAATCAATGGAGCTCTCAATGAAGCTCAACTCCGATACAAAGCATTTGTTGCAACTCTTTGTTCTGTTCTCAGTGCTATTCTAAATTCTAAGGTAATGTTTCCAATTTTTCAATAAGATCGTAACTTTCTCTTCATTTTCAAGTATCTGATCCATTAGTAATCTGATTATCAAATTGTTTACAAACCTTGTAAAAACTATAAATCAAGGATGCTTATGTGTTTGCTTTTGCTATGTTTAAGGGTTGCAAAACATGATATGAATAATGATTTTATGATATCATTTTGAATTTTTCATCTGCAAATGAAGGTCAACACTTATAACATTGATACAATGTCACTGATGAAATAGATGTTGATTAGTTGGAAGAGAGTGTCTCGGGAGAACTTATACAACTCTATTATTTTCTGTAATTTTGCTAGACATTTTATGCTTCATCTTTGCCAGTCAAGAAATTTGGTTAGCATTGTCTCTTATAATCCTTCATTTGTATTATTTTTTTTCATGTTTAACATATTTTGTAGACTTTTATCTTCATCAAAGTTTGTTATCAATTTGCTAAAAATACTTTCTATGCATGATCTTGATGAAGGCTGCAATGGCATTGATGACAAAAAGGCTTCCTTACTCATGATGAACTTCACTATTGAGGAAGTCGAGTTTGCAATAAACAAACTTGGTATTGTAATTTGTAATTTGGATAACTATGGTTGCTTCTTTTTTACTTAGCTAAATTTATAAAAAAAAAGTTTAACGCTGTAATTATATGTGATTCACATGTAAATCATATATGAATTACATGTGATTCACATGTAATTCACATATGAATTACATTTGATTCACATGTAAATCATATGTAATACTTATGTGAATTACATGTGATTCACATGTAATTCACATATGAATTACATGTGATTCACATGTAAATCACATGTAATTCACATATGAATTACACGTGATTCACATGTAAATCACATATGAATTACACGTGATTCACATGTAAATCACATATGAATTGTAATTTACATATGAATTGCATGTGATTCACATGTAAATCACATATGAATTACATGTGATTCACATGTAAATCACATATGAATTACATGTGATTCACATGTAAATCACATATTAATTACATGTGATTCACATGTAATTACACATATGAAATTACATGTGATTCACATGTAATTCACATATGAAATTACATTTGATACACATGTAAATCAGATATGAATTACATGTGATTCACATGTAAATCACATATGTATTTTTGTGAATGTTTTTGCATCAATCAATTTCTTTTTGTGAATGTTTTTGTAGCATTTTTTTATTTTTTATATTTTATTTGTATTGAATAAAATACTTGTACTATTATGTTTATAGATTAATTAATAAATATAAGATTTGTTGTTATTTACTTACGAATATTATAGTATAAGAAATATATATATGTGCATTCGAAAAAAATATGCATATATGCACCTAAAAATTTACTTCTTAAAAAAATGTAGTTTTTTTTGTTAAATACAATTTTTTTCTAAAAAAAAAGTAACTTTCTTAAAAAAAGGAAAAAATGCACTTTTTTATTTAAAAATGCATTTTTTTTCTTAAATTTGCAGTTATTTTAGAAAAAAAATTCATTTTTTATTTTAAAATTCATGTTTTCTATAACAAATTAAAAAATCTGGATTTTTTAAACGAAAAATACTATATATATATATATATATATATATATATATATATATATGAAAATTTGATTTATGATATAAATTTTTAGACATTTATATTTATATGTTAAATAGCACAAAAAAATTAAACATCAAATGAGATTGGTAAGATGACGATCATGTTCTTAATGAATTACTTTTGATCCAACGTTCCATTTTTAGTTCTCGGGTATATATATATATATATATATATATATATATATATATATATATATATATATATATATATATATATATACACTAGCCGTAGACCCGCGCAAAGCGGCGGCGAAAAATAGTTTCTCATTCGGCAATAAGTTCTATACGGAAACATGTTAGATTTCAAGTAACACAAAACATATGCATATTGTTATCGATTGGTTTTACGGAAACAAATAAATGTAACCCTCGCAATACAAAAGAAAATAAATATTTTGGTGTGTAGTGTACGTTTATAGCATAGTCACATAGATCGCCAAGGTAGTCACGATCTCCGTTCCGAACGTCCCGTTCCCAAACGGGGTTCGTTTTCGTTCCAGTCGGCGGCCGAGTCGCTGTCCGATACGGGTACCCTGCGATCCCGTTTAGTCTTCAATTCGGTCATGGAACCATGAAATCGGCGATCCGAATTACACAGAAACACGATTAGGATCGTCAATTTTGGACTTGGAATCGCCAATTTTGGTTTGAGCGGGAACTTGTAAAAACCGTGACGCTACGATAAAGTATCGATCTCATCGATTCCTGGTACGTTTCTTCGATTCCTACATCTAATTCCTCCAGTGAATCTTGATTCCAATAATTATTTAAGATGCTTCTTATCCCACCTGACTACTCACTGGTTCACCCACTCTCTCTCGGTTCTTCTTCTGTTACACGTCTTCATCACAGACCCTTTCCAATATATTCTTTCTTTATTGATTTGATTGGTGTGAAAATGGTATTTGGCAAATCTTTTAACCGCACAGAAGATAGTGAAACACAACCACCACCAGAAGATTTTGTTGATCTTGAGAATGAAGACCAAAGAGCATCAGATATAGGAACAACAGGAAGCAAGAAAACAAATGATAAGGATGCTAGCAGGCCTCTGTTGGAAGAAGTCACTTTTACTAGTTCTGGAACTGGTAAAAATGCAGGGGGGGCAAAGGTATGGACTTGCAACCACTGCAAAGTCCAATACACAAGCTCGTATACCAGAATTCACACACATTTCTTTGGGGCTCAACTTGGGAAGACCGCAGAAATAAGAAGATGTCCGGTTATGATTAAGGACCGGGAGAAGCTACAAAGACTTTTGAGCAAGGTTAAAGAAGTTGAGAGCGGAGGTGTTTCAAAATCTTTAAAGAATTCTATACTTTCGAAAAAAAGCAACATCAAGAAAAGGAATTGAGGAATCTTTTGGTCTTATGGAGCGAAATGCGGTTGACATGAAAATAATTAGAGGATTGTGTGCTAATGGTATCCCGTTTAACGTCTTGCGGAATCCACAATTTATTGAAATGCTCAATGCACTCAAGAAGGCCCCGGAGGGATACAAACCTCCGTCTAGTGAAAAAGCAAGAACCGTTTTTGTTAGATGAGTATATGAGAGATGTTGAGAAAGACCTAACCCAAGTCAAAGATACTTGGTACACGCAAGGGGTTTCTATTGTTTCCGATGGGTGGTCGAATGTCAAACATAAGCCACTCATCAATGTTCTTGCGGTGAATGCCCGTGGTTCTATGTTTATGTACGCGGAAGATTTCTCGGGAGTCGAAAAAACAGGTGTGGAAATCTCTAAGTATCTTCTTGGAGCTATCGATGAGGTTGGACCGAGCAACGTTTTGCAAGTGGTCATGGATAACATAGCTAATAGCAAAGCTGCCGGAAGAGAAGTCGAGAAGGTATACAAACATGTATTTTGGTCACCTTGTTGCGTACATACTCTAAATTTGATTTTCAAAGATTTATCAAAAGAATTTTTTTGGTTAAATAATACCTATAAGAGAGGGAAAACAATTGTCAAATACTTTCTAAACCACACTCAAGTCTTGTCAATTTTTCGAGAAAATTCCACATTAGAGTTGTTAAGGGTGGCTAAAACAAGGTTTGCATCTCTCTATATTTTGTTAAAAAGAATCAAGGATTGTAGAGAGGCTCTTGCCACAACTATAGTCCTTAATTCTTGGAGGGAGTGGCTTAAAAATGGAGATGAAAATACAAAAGTTCTTGGTTTAAAAGTTGCGGATACAATCAAAGATGATTTGTTTTGGGAAGATGTAGACAATGTTTTAGCTATTACAAAACCCATTTTCCTACTCATCAAGTTTTGTGATGGGGAAGGTCCTAAAATGGGTGAGATTTATGAAAAAATGGATAACATGTCGGGGGAGATTAAAGACATTATGCAAGAAAATACGTATTCAAGCTATTACCCGGAAGTCGAGAAGATAGTGTTAGCTAGATGGGAGAAAATGACAATCCCATTACATTGTTTGGGGTTTGCATTAACTCCAAGATTTTATGATAGACAATATCTTCAAAAGTTAGCACCGGGGGGTATTCCAAGGAAAGCTCCAAATCTAGATAAAGAGGTTGTGATTGGTGTCATGAAAACATTCCATAGAATGTCCGAAAATGAAGAGGAGGAACGAGTGTTACGAGAACAATTCGCAACATTCCATATGAAAAAAGGAATCTATTCCATGGCGGCAACACAAACGGATGCCGTGACAATGGATGCAATAGATTGGTGGTCAACATATGGAGCCGAAACCCCGAAATTAGCTGTGATAGCAAAGAAGGTACTTTCCCAACCGATTAGTAGCTCTTCGGCGGAAAGAAATTGGAGTACCTATTCTTACATTCACAATGTGAAAAGAAATAGGTTAAATTGCAAAAGAGCCGACAAATTGGTTTTCATTCACTCCAATATTCGACTCCTATCTCGTTTCTCGGATTCATATAAAGCAGGCCCATACAAAAAGTGGGACATGAATCCTGAAAACACTTATATTGAAGGCTCAAGTTCACGATTAGAAGAAATGTTTTGGGAGAATTTAGATGAAGACATGGAGAATGGGCAAGGAAAAAGACAACGCGTGGATTGAAGAAAACTTTTCTGTTATTGTTTTTCTGGGAATTCTGTTTTTTGTTTTTTAGTGTTGGAAACTTGGAAAACTGTTTTGATGTGTTTGCTGGAAAATTGTTTTGGAAAATTGTTTTGATGTATTGAAGTGTTAGTTTGTTATTAACTGTTTTTTAAAGTAATTCTTGCTGGGAATATTAAAATTATGTTATTTGTTTTCCTGTTAATGAATTTTGATGTAAATAATGGCTGGAACTTTTGTATAAACCATGGTTTCATGGGTACACCGTACGAAATACACGATACACCGTATCGGAACGTACCGGGACG